ACTTGTGTTTGGTAACGTTTACGTTTTCAGTTTATATTTACAAAAATTTTATAAACTGATTTTTATTTATTTTTTGTTTATTTTTAGAAAAAACATAAACTACAAACGCGTTTTGTAATTGACAAAATGTTTTAAAAAATTTAAAAATATAAAAAAGAATGAGAAATGGCAAGTGGTGGCAAGTGATGGCGGAAGACGATGGTGGAAAGTGGTGACGGTAGGTGGTGGGTAGCTGGTGGTGGTAGGTGGTGGCGAGTGGGTGGTGGTGGTGGTGGTGGGTGGGTGACGGTAGCGGGGGGTGGGGGGTGGGTGGTAGTGGTGGTGGTGGTGGTGGTGGTGGTGGTGGTGGGTGGTGGTGGCAGGTGGGTGGCGGGTGAGTGGTGGGTGATGATGGTGGTGGTGACAGGTGGGTGGTGGTGGTGGGTGACTGGTGGTGGCAGGTGGGCAGTGAGTGGTGGTGGCAAGTAGGTGGCGGGCGGTGGATGGTAGTGGCGGGTGAATGACAGGTGGGTGGTGGTGGCGAGGGCTGGGTGGTGGTGGCGAGTGGGTGGGTGGTAGGAGGTGGTGGCGGGTGGTGAGTGGTGTCGGCAAGTGGGTGGTGAGTGGTGGTGGTGGGGGGTCGGTGGTGGTGGCGAAAGACGGTGGTGAAAAATGGTGACGGGTGGTGGCTAGTTTTGGGTGGTAAAAAAAAAAAAAAACTCAAAACGGAAACACATTTTTTAAGTTTATATTTTTTGGCCAAATTTATAAACTGAGACCACTGATTTATAAATCAAAAATTTACTAAACAAATTTTTATTTGAATTTTTAAAATTTTTATAAACATAAATAAAAAATTGAAAACGTAACTGTTATCGAATGACATCTTAGATTGTGTTAGATATGTGAAGCACTAATATTTAGTATGTTTTATAAAGTTATAAAATATACATATGTGATTAGTGCATTTTAGAATATGACCAACACATTTTGTGAGAGTGACTCCCACTTTCCTATGACAAAATCTTTTATTTATTTATTTTAATTTTTATGGCTGAATAATTCATCTCATTTTTTCACGTGGTCAAATTTCATTTTTTATGACTGAATTTTTTTCAACAGAAGAAACGAGCTTTATATATTCTACTTTCTGAGTCTTCCCCCTCTCTAACTATTTAAAGGGTTTTGTTTAAGTGTATATATATATATATATATATATTTTATTTTTTTTTATAACCAGCTGCTTGAATAAGTTTATGCACAACTCGACTAATTTTAAAATTCACGCAAAATGCCTATTTCATGTGAATTGAACAAATCTTAAGCAGAGTCTGCAGGGTATCTCCCAAAGTGCAGATTGTTCATAATGAGAGTTGAACTTGATATTTGGAGAGGGGTACATCTCTAAATCTCAAATTGTACTCACTAGGCCAACCCCTTTAGAAGGTAGAAAAAGCATTAAATATATACTATTATAGAATGCTTCTTTTATAATTAGACTAAAATATCTTTTTTTGAGATTTCTCTAATTTTTTTTGGGAAATTCTTTTTAAGATTTCTGATATTAAGATTTTATAAAATAAAGGATATACAATACTTTCATAACAGTTAAGATCTCTCAATATTTCTACAGAGCAAATTGAATTTGAACGGGCATTTGCCGTAGTATCTATAATTTGATTATTGGCATTGGTTTATATAATTTCAACTCGCTTCATTTTTATCCTGAGTTTATAATTTTAAATTATTTTTGAAATTATTCATTTTAAAAAATTTATAGAAAAATAAAGAGAATAATTAATTTTTTGATAATAACTTTTTGACTTTTAAACTATATTATGTGATTGTCAAACCAACCCTTTGTCTCAATTTAATCTAATTTATTAGAATTATTACATTTTTTAATGAAAAATATGCACGTAAGTGACAAATGCTATACTTTTAATAATAAGAAAGATGCTTGAAACCCCAATTTTTAGTGACCCCAATAATCCTCAATTGATTTGTGATCACTCATTATATTTTTTTTCCCTCTCTCTCTCTCTCCTCCCTCTCTCTTACAAATGCTGTGGGGGGTTTGGGGGTTGTGGGGGGTTTAGAGCATAACCGTCACAATAATGCTACAGAACTCCTTACTCACTCGTGATTGGTCCAAGAAAAAAAGAAAAAATAAAATAAAATAAATAAAAACACATGATTAGTTCACATTATTTGGAGTCATGGGGATCCCCAACTTTGGAGTTCCCATGCATTTTTGCACCAAGGATCCTCTAGAGTGAAATTTCTCTAAAGTTTCCTAGAGTGCTCCATTGTGTGGTTGAGATTCACTGGCAAGTCACATCAGAAAAATTGACGTGACTTGCCAATAAATCTCAACCACACAATGGAGCACTCTAGGAAACTTTAAGAAAAACTCACTCTAGAGGATCCTTGCTCGCATTTTTGTACTTTTAAAAGTAAAATTATAAACTTAGAAAATTAGTCTCAATCAATTCACTAATCAGTTTTTTTTTTATTTATTTATTTAAAATACGAACTATATATCAATTGGAACGAATTGATAAAAAATTAAAAATTAAAAATCAAAATTGAAAATTTAAAGATTAAAACAACGCAAGGACAAAATGTAAAAACTACCAATCTAATTTGCTCAATTTGAATTTTGATCAACGTGTTCTCTCTCTCATACGGGAAATGTGTTGCCCAAGTGTTCAACTTGTTCCGATTCATTGCAATTAACCCAAAATAAAAAGATCCAATGCGTACTTTGGCCATACAATGAACCCAAAACAAAAAGATCTAATACGCACTTTGGCCATATAATTATGTATTTAGACAGTATTTGATTAATGGATCTGAGGAGGGATTTATTTAATAATTTATTGATTTGGTAAGAGATTTGAAAAATAAAAGAAAAAATGACAAAAATAAATAAAATATGAATAAAATATAACTATATTTCACATACTTTTTTTTTTTTTTTTTTTCTATTCAAATCTTTCATCAAATTCATAAACTAAATACAATATCTAATCCATAACAGACTTTGTAAAATCTAAAACCAAATTTTCCAAACAAAACTGATGAAATAAAAATGCCAAGAACATATATATACATCAACAAACTAACTCCAGTAGAAAATAAAGTATACCTCTATATCCCACCGAAAAAGATAAAAAAAATCTGATATGAACAAAAACAATGAAGATATCCGAGTATAAAAATTCCCAACTACAATATAAGCTGGTGTCCATCCTAAGAAAGGTGTTCAACCAATCAACCCGGTTGGCAATTTCTTAATCTTCATGTGGTTCTCATATGGTGTCAAGTTCAAGTCCAGGCTCAAAACTCTCTTACTTCCATTGCTACTATTCGACTTCTTCAAAACCGGTATCACCGACTGGCTCGAGATATCTCTGTGTCTCCTCATGTGACCCCCGAGCGCTTGCCCTATGGCGAACTCTAGCCCGCATATCGAGCACTCGTGGGTCTTCGCCTTTACTGGCGAGCTGGGGGTCTGAACATGAAGGTCTCCTCCTCCCATTAATCTAAGCTTCTTGTGGCTAGCCCTGTGGCCACCGAGAGCTTGGAACGATGAAAACTCTCTGTTACATGTCTTGCAGGTGAAGACACGGTCACGGCCACTGGTCCATGTGGTCTCTCCGACACGGGAGAGGAGCATCAAGCAGTTGGCCATGGCTAGTGCTTCCACCTCTGTGTCTTCTCTGCTTCTTTTCAGAATTTCTATGGTCATTATAAAGATCAGAATGTGTGTATGTGAATGTAGAAAAGCTTCTTGTTTGGTGTGAGAAAGTGATGAGTGAGTTGAATTTGTGATGTTGAGAATGGTGTATCGGTTTGTTGATATATAGGTAGTAGTGGAGAATGAGTGGTGATTTTAAAAAAAATGTGGGGTCTATTTCTTGATGGGTAAGCAAGTGCGAGCGAGTACTGGTTGTTTTCATAAAATAGATGGATATGGATAAAGAAAAATAGCCGTCAGTGCACACGTTACTCTAGGCTGCCACCGCCTAACTGATGACGCAAACTAGTCTCTCTAGTTGTTTTGGGAATTAACAGTTGTTTTGTGAATTCATTTTTTTTTTAAAAAAAATTATAAAAAAATTGTAAATAAAAAAACAGATTTTTTATTAAAATTTTAACTTTCTAAAACCGGTTTTTATTATTTTGAATTTAAAAAAATTAAAATTTTAAATTTTTTTGTATTTTGTTGTCTTTAATTTAATGAATTTTTTTTCCATAAAAAATCTAAAAACAATTTAATTAATACAAAAAATATAAAAATGTATAATTTTTTTGAATTTAGGCCTATTTTGGGGACTTAGCATTTTAGTCAAAATACTAAAAATTATTACAAAAAAGTCAACTTCTCTCTCTGTCTCTCTCTATTTTTTTGTATTTTTTTTTTATACAAAGTCTAAAATTACTAAAAAAATTAATTCTTCAAACAACCCTTAGTGAATTCTAATTTTTTTTTTCTTTTTTACAAATTTTATATTTTTAAATGTATTTAGATTAAATAGATCTGAAAAAAATTAAAGATAATTAAATTATTAAAAGATAAAGATATATAAATTACAAACTCAACAATTATTTTTACAAAATTCGAAACGAAATAGGTTACGTTATGAAAAATTTACCCATAAATCCTAGATTATGGAAAGTTAAACCATTTTGTCCTAAGAGTTTTCTTATGCACCATTTTGTCCTAAGAGTTTTCTTATGCACCATTTAGCCCCTTTTGTTTGGTAATATTAATAGAGTTGATTTTGAGTATGTTTAAGTTTACATTAAGGGTTTGGTTATGGTGTGCAACTTACACCTTACACCTTATACCTTAAACTCACACCTTACACTTACACCTTTTGTAAAAAATTAAACCTTACACTTACACCTTTTTTGAGGTTGCACACCATATGCAACCCACTTACACCTGTCTTCCCCTTTACGGGCGAGCTGGGGGTCTGAACATGAAGGTCTCCTCCTCCCATTAATCTAAGCTTCTTGTGGCTAGCCCTGTGGCCACCGAGAGCTTGGAACGATGAAAACTCTCTGTTACATGTCTTGCAGGTGAAGACACGGCCACGGCCACTGGTCCATGTGGTCTCTCCGACACGGGAGAGGAGCATCAAGCAGTTGGCCATGGCTAGTGCTTCCACCTCTGTGTCTTCTCTGCTTCTTTTCAGAATTTCTATGGTCATAATAAAGATGAGAATGTGTTTATGAGAATGTAGAAAAGCTTCTTGTTTGGTGTGAGAAAGTGATGAGTGAGTTGAGTTTGTGATGTTGAGAATGGTGTATCGGTTTGTTGATATATAGGTAGTAGCGGAGAATGAGTGGTGGTTTTAAAAAAAATGTGGGGTCTATTTCTTGATGGGTAAGCAAGTGCGAGCGAGTACTGGTTGTTTTCATAAAATAGATGGATATGGATAAAGAAAAATAGCCGTCAGTGCACACGTTACTCTAGGCTGCCACCGCCTAACTGATGACGCAAACTAGTCTCTCTAGTTGTTTTGGGAATTAACAGTTGTTTTGTGAATTCATTTTTTTTTTAAAAAAAATTATAAAAAAATTGTAAATAAAAAAACAGATTTTTTATTAAAATTTTAACTTTCTAAAACCGGTTTTTATTATTTTGAATTTAAAAAAATTAAAATTTTAAATTTTTTCGTATTTTGTTGTCTTTAATTTAATGAATTTTTTTTCCATAAAAAATCTAAAAACAATTTAATTAATACAAAAAGTATAAAAATGTATAATTTTTTTGAATTTAGGCCTATTTTGGCGACTTAGCATTTTAGTCAAAATACTAAAAATTATTACAAAAAAAGTCAACTTCTCTCTCTCTCTCCCTATTTTTTTAATTTTTTTTATACAAAGTCAAAAATTACTAAAAAAATTAATTCTTCAAACAACCCTTAGTGAATTCTAATTTTTTTTTTCTTTTTTACAAATTTTATATTTTTAAATGTATTTAGATTAAATAGATCTAAAAAAAATTAAAAATAATTAAAATATTAAAAGATAAAGATATATAAATTACAAACTCAACAATTATTTTTACAAAATTCGAAACGAAATAGATTACGTTATGAAAAATTTACCCATAAATCCTAGATTATGGAAAGTTAAATCATTTGGTCCTAAGAGTTTTCTTATGCACCATTTAGTCCCTTTTGTTTGGTAATGTTAGTAGAGTTGATTTTGAGTATGTTTAAGTTTACATTAATACCCTTTTGTGGGATTTGTTTTTCCTAACTTGGGGATTCGGTGTGTTGGCGGGGGTAATTGCTAATATTAACGTGTGTAAGGGTTTGGGTTGACTTTGGGGGAGCAACAGTGGATTGTTTGTGTTGTGCTCCATCGTTTTACAGTTTTGTTTGATTTTTTTCTTGGCCGTCATTTTGCATCGTTCTCTGGACCAATCGGGACTACAATAGGTGAGTCGTGTTATTGGGGGTGTTTTACATTTGTATTATGTTGTTGCACGTGACGTTCGGGGTGTGTTGTGTCGTGGTTTTGGTTGATGTGTATTGATATGTCATTGTCATTCAGATTGGTGTTTTATATAGGTTGAAGTAGCTGTGGGTTTTTCATTCCTCATTATTTAACGTTTTCTGTGTGTTCATGTTTGTTGATTAATGGCACTCATAACATTAATATTGCACAGTTGCTGTTAATTGATTGTGAAGTTGTTCCTAATGTGTAACTTAATTTTGTATGTTACTCCTCATCACATAGAAATTCCAAATTTTCCCTCTCTGCAACTTTATTACCGCCCAACTTGGAAATACGCACGCAACACCATAGGAAAATGATGTCTCAATTTGTAATTTCACACGGTCAATTTACCAACTTTGCCCACTAACGTCCACATTCACGTTGCGATGTATATACCCTCTATCGTCAATTTTCCTATAATGAGACCTTTCCGTCTACAAAAAAAAATATTTAGGACCAAATAGTTCACAAGTTCACAAATTAAGATTTATTAGTGCATCACTCTTAAGTTATTTAAGAATGAGTCATGTGTGTGGGACGAGCTCCAAATAAAGACTTGTTTGACGGTTCTAGAACCTTGGTCAAGATATGTGCATTATAAACTATATAATTCAAATAATGTGTGTAAATTTTGGGTATTATGGTGATATAATGTTGGTTGTATCACCAATTAATTACAAATTTCATATTACAACAGTGAAAATTATATAATTGGATTAATAAAAGATAATTGGTGTTAATCTAATTATATTTGCAATTTTATACCGTTTGATAATACCATTACATTAAAATAAAATCTGTATTTAATATATGTATTTAAAAAATAAAAAAAAAAGTAATCGTAATTGAGTATGAAAGCAAGTTAAAGAACCTAAGAGAGTAGAAATTATCATAGTCTAAATAAGCAAGCCAGAATGAATTTCATAGGGCAACACACGTCATTGAAAACGTGGATCACCAGTCGTCGCATAATAATCGCAATTAATATAGATATACAAAATATAATATTAATTAATAAATAATAAATGTGTAGTATATAAGAATTTTTCTTTGTGATTAATCTACGCGGTAGGTACTTCGGTTACGAGGAGGTAGTTGAGTGTAAGCTTCGTCTTTCACACTCGTAAGTCTTGATTGGAAATATATTATTTTAATAATTTTTTAATTAAAATATAAAATAAAAAATTTTATATGTTTAAAATAATTTTTTAATTTTTTATTAAAAGAAGTATAAAAAGTAGAAAAAAAAATGAAATTTTTAATTTTTTAATATAGGTTATAGATTTTTTAATTTTTTTAATAACTTTTTTATTTTTAAACAAAAACTATTACTTCTCAACTGAGACCTAAGTTTTGTCATGTAAGTTTGGCATGGGTTAGAATTATTTTAGTCACAAAATGATAAAATAAGTTTTTGAGCTAAAAGTTATAAGTTGTTATATTTAAATTATAATTATTATATTTTTTTTTACAAAAATTTAAAAAATAAAAAAAATCATTCTAAACGAGACTATTTTAATCCAAACTAAAATAATTTAAAAAAACTAAAAAATCAAATCACAGTCCAAACGAAGCCTAAGCGGATATATATATATATATATATATACTTGGTCCAAAAATGTGCACCAACTTTCACTTCTTACCATTAAAAAGCCATTCAGTTTCTGGAAGTTTCCATGAGGGAAACTAATCCAGTGAAGCATCCAAGGTAGGATTTGGGGACGTAGCAGTATCTGCTGTTCGGCAGAAATAGATTTATTTTGGTATTTATTTTGATAATTCGAACCGTTCATATTTTAAAATACATGAATTAGAACATGCCTGCAAAAAGTTAAGTTAATCGGATATCGTTTACCGATTCATCCACTCACATTTCTATTTACAAAAATAAATAATAATTGTAATTTAAAGTATTAAAATAAATACAAATGTCAGTGGACGAATAGGTAAACGATATCCAATTAACTTGATTTTTTACAAGCATATTCTACTTGATATATTTTAAAATGTGAACGGTTCAAATTATCAAAATGGGCCCCAAAATGAGCCCATTTCCGCACACAGCAGATGTTGCTGCGCACCCCGCGCAGCAGCACCCCCAAACTCTTCAAGGTAGGGATGTTTTACCCCTGACGACGGGACAGATAATGTGGGTGTTTGGAAAGTTCCTATTTTAAAATTTTTTTGATTTTTTAATTATTTAGTAAGTTATTTTAATTTTTGTGTTTAGGAAGATGGGATGAATTTTTATTTGAGTTGGTGCATTAAAAAATGTGTTAAAATAATATTTGAAGTTAAAATGATAAATTTATCCCTAACCTTATATTTTTCAAAATTAATCTAAAGGGACAAAATTATAATTTATCAACTTGTCACTATGGCAGTGATAAATTGTGCCTACATTGTCACAGCCCACTGCCGACCCTTTTTTTTTTTTTTTTTTAAACTACAAACCAACCCCCCCCCCCCCCCCCCCCCCAAAATAATGGGTTTGTTATCACATTTGTAGTGCATTTTATAATATTCATCTCACGTCTCATTTTAATTATTTACATTGTTTAAAAATATTAAATACAATATGTATGTAAAAAAATTAAATTAATAAGATATCAATAGTTTTTTGTCAAATCATATTTGCATTCAGTTTGATATTTAAATATATATATACAAATATGATTTGATAAAAAAGTTATCTGTACGAGCACGAAATAATCTTCTCGTATAATCCTATTGACAAAGTTTGTGCTCCTCCAAACGTCGTCACTTTACTCCCTGAAAGCACAAACGTGAGCTAGCCGGCGGGTGTGTGCCGAATACCTCTCCGATGCCTAAGTCAGCAAAATAGACAAATAGACAAAAGCTTTGTGTATTCGAGAATCAAAGTTGTGTTATCTCTACATATGTTATGTTGTGAGCTTTTATAGGTTCCGCGTGGCACAATCCTAGTAGGACTTTTAGTCCTCCGCTTAGAGTTCTCCTAGGAATCATACTCCTGAAAGATAATACTTATTCTTTAACACCCCCCTCACTGCTTAAACCAAGTGAGATGGTTTTACCTCGGTAATATGACAAAACGACCGAGCTAACATGGCCATGTTAAAGCGGCAGATTTGACCGAGCTCCAACCAGCTCAGTTCTTCCTTTCATTGCTTGTACCTCGGTTTAGCATACTACAACTGGGCTAATAACTTGAGACCGAGCTAACTATGCAGAATGGCGTCCTTATCTCAGCGCGACTATGTGTGATGCTTAGCTCGGTCCGAACCTTAACTAGGCCCAACTAGTTAGCTCTTAGACCGAGCTATATCATCTCTTACCTCCGCCCATTATGCGACCCAACTTACAAAGAAGGCAATTCCTTAGCTCGGCCCAATTTATTTATAAATTACCCCCTCAATTGCTCCTTAATTCCATCTACGTAGCATGATTTGGGATTACTCTTCTCTAGCCGAGCTAAAAGCAGTCAAGCCAACCGAGGTCACTCTCTACCGGGCTGCCGACTAGTCCGTTGTATAACGTCCTTTTAGTCTGTACATCTGAACCATTTCCTATTTGCGTGGACACGTGGCTGGCTCCCATTGGTCAAGTACAACTGTCTACGCCGCCCTCGTACTCTGAAAAATTTGAACAGTCCCACCTTAACTTATGCCTTACACAAAACAAAACCCTACTCTTCGAACAAAACATATCACTATTCATCATCTTCTCTCTCTACTTTCTGAGCCTCCATTTTTCTTTAACACTGCATCTGCAAAGCTCGTGTTTTCTACTGGTGCCGTTGCCATCTTCGATTCCAAGATCTTTGAA